CTTATGAAAAGTATTACTTACGTAATACTTATGATTAAACAAACGTAATACTTATGATTAAACAAAATTTTATTAATAAAAGTCGAATTACTTCTTGAAATTGTTACTTTTTTTTACATATTCTTGAAAATATTATTTCTCATATTTAGTTACTTAGCGTTAGTCTTAAGCAAACAGAAATATTAGACTGCAGAATGAAAGAAATACTTTTCTTTTACATTATAATTTCTATTATTAAATTATTATTTTTGCGTCAAAACTATTTTTTAATATCAGCTTGAATATTAATTAATAAGTCTTTACTACAATTTTCGCTTTTTTGAGTAAAATATTACATACATTTGTTTGGTCACGAAAATAATCCAAAATATGAGAAAACAAATAAAAATTGTTATATTTATTCACTTTTATTAATTATAAAATTTCAGACTATTTTCAATAAAAAAGTATTTATTCATTATTAGCAAAAATATTTTGCTTACATTTTTTTCCATTTATTGTTTTTAAAAATATCAAATATACAAAATAATAATAAAAATTAGCAAATTTATTTTTAAAAAGTTGAAAAATTTTTGTTGTACTAAATTAAAAACTAAAATCTATTCAAATTTATGTAAACTTTTCAACTTTTTTTTTTAAATTTTTGAATATTTATTTTAAATTTGTCATTATTCAGCTTTTCAAAAGGTTTTGAAAAAATCAAAACTTATTGTTTTAGTTTTTTAGAATAAAATTTTTGCATAATATTTTTATCGAAAAATAAACAAAAAAGCATTTGCCAAAAAAAAGAATTATATTATATTTTTTCACTGAAGCAAGTAGTGCATGTAATAGTTATTTTGCACAATTTATCGTTATCCATTCATGCATTTAAAAATTTTTCAAATACTAAAATGCATTGAAAAGAAGATTTAAAGTTTAAAAATGTGACAATTTTTAAGTTTGATTACTTATTTTGACAAATGTACATTACTATGCAATTTTTATGATTTCAAAGATTAATAATTATTTCAACAAAAAGTACTAAATTTATTGTTAGCAAAATAAAATTTACTTTATCCCCGAACTATTCTATAAATAAAGTTATAAGAAATTAAATTTTACTTATGATAAGTTCATGCAACATAATTTTAGTAATTAGTAGTTTAAGACAAGTAAATTACACGTGACGTACTTTTGAGAACTTACCTTAAAATTCATTTTACGTTTTTTGGCAAATCAAAATTTGCACTTTTATTGCATTTGCAAATAATTATGCAAATTATTTTAGATAGTAATTTTAGCAAAATATTATTTAGACTTTATTTTGAATTTAATGACTATTTTATCAACAGAATAAAAATAATGTTTATAAAAAAGTATGAATTTTCTTCCTACGTAATACAAGAATATGCAAACAATTTCCTATGGGAATTTAATGCAAATTTTGATATATTTCCAATTCTATATTTATTCAAATCTCTATTTCACGAATTAATTTTTTCTTCTTTGAGTCATTTAACCATTTTAAATAAAAAGCCAATTTTATCAAATGACATCATTTTTTCTGAAAAAAATAAATATTTATTAAATTTAGTGCTGTAAATTATATTACTATAATGCTGAAGAATTGAGAGTAAATTAAATTTTGAATTTTTGCAAAAATCAAAAAATGTACAGATTATGAAGTGAGCATCTTTCATTAACATTGACAAAAATTTAATTTTTTAAATATTAAATTTAAAGCAGTCTTATGTTGCGGCAAATTTTTGATTTAGAACTTTCGAGCTAATTATTATATTTTGAACTTTGACCCCAAGTACTTGTTACGTAATTATACAATTATTCTTGTTCTGTAATAAAATAGCATTAAATGCATTTGAATTAGCTAACATCAGCTTTTGAGTAGAATAGTTTTGCTGCTCGTTAATTTTTCACTCTAATATTCAAAGTAATAATTTGATCAAGTAGAAACAATAGTGTTGTCCTTTTTAGAATAAAGTTTATGTATTATTTAATAGATAGAAAGATTGAATTTGAAATAATAACGAGCTAAATATTTTGCAACTATTCAAAAATTTATTTCAAGCTTTTAGAAGAAATAAAATATTTATCAAAATTCCGTTTGTTCAAAGTAATACAAAAATTTTTTCTTATTTTATATTTTTTGGGATAAAATTTTTTGCGAAAAAAAATGCAAAAATATTAATATTTTTTGAATACAATTTTAACGAGCTAATTTAACATTTTTGTTTATTACGTCAAACTTTTCAAATTTTTACGTAATAAAAATTATTAATCTAAAAAAGATTTTCATGCATTAAATATTAGTTCAAAAGTGTTTTGCGTTTTTTTGAAAGTTTTTATTTGTGTTTTGTATTCACTTAAAAACAAACTAATTCAAGTATTCTTATTCTGATTACATAGATCGTTCCCTCACAACAAATTCAATTAAGCTAATAAGTTAGACTTTTTATTAGATGTAAAGATAGTTAAAAACAAATAGTGCAAAAGCAAATTAAAAATTTATCGCAAAAAATGGAAATAAAATAAGTTACTAAAAAATTAAATGACTGAAATAGTAAAAAAGTTTAAGAAATAACTATTGAATATTAAGAATTGAAAATTTATTTTATTACTTTTTTATTGAAAATATAAAATTTTTTCTGAAAAATAGTATTGTAAACTACTGTACTCTTTCAAAAGCTTTTTAATTATTAAATCGTTGTGTAAAAAACAATTTAAATTTTTGATTTTGAGTTAAAAATTTTTTCTGAATTAGTAAACTTTTCATTTTGTGTTTATTTTCTAAAAACATTTTCAAAATTTTAAAAGAAATAATCGACAATTTATTAAAATACACAGGAAAAAAGTCTTATAAATACCAAGTTAAAAATTTTTTAATTTTATTTTTTCAAACTTTAGACTTTTTAAATAGTATTTATTACGTAATACTAATTATAAAACAACAATTATACATTATGCAAATTTAATCCACGTCAGATATTCAATTGTATATTGCATTTTTTGGCTAAAAACTGTTAACGTCTTAAATCGTTTTATTTCTAGACCGATTTTTAGATATACTTAGATTACTTACTTAACATATTTATTTTATGCGATCGTAAATCTTTAATTGTGCAAAAACAGCTAACAATTTCCTCTTTTTTTGATTTTATCTCTCAAATATTCTTGCTTGCATAATTTTAGCCATTCAAACTGCTCTTTAGAAAGTTATTTAAATCTTTTAAGCTGAAGTCTTGTGATTTTCAAGTATTCTTGCTTTACATATACCCAAAAATATGAAAATATAAGCAAAGAAGTGGATTAATGAGACATAAATGCTATTTGTTTTGCCAACACTTCAATGCATGAGTGAGTATCTCAATGATCTGTCGAGAAATATGAAAGTCCAAAAATAGCTTGAAAAATCGAGCATTTTAATTTTCAGAACTAAAAATTTAACATTCATAAAAAATATTTTGTAAAAAAATAATAATAATAATAATTATTGTTTATAAAAATTAATTACAATGGAAATCATTTTTTCATTTCGCGCAATTTTTTGCTTTATTTGCATTTTTTTTTAAATTAAACAAAAATAATTTCTGTAAAAGAATTGAAGTATTTATTAACATTAACTTTATAGTTATAAGATAAGTAGAAATGCTATTTATCCATGCTATTGCTAATTAATTTTTTTATTAAAATTAGAATTAAAACACAAATATGTGCGGTAAATCAAAAAAATAAAATTTTTGTAAACTATTAAGAAAATAAAAATTTTTGTAATTGAACTGCTTTTGATAATTTTTTTAGTATGTGTGTAGAATAAAAAATTTCAGAAAAAGACATTTAAATGAATAATTTGTGAAAAATAAAGGATAATTTTAATGTTCAATTATGACTGCGCAAAAATTAAGTCGACGGAAGAAATTTTTTAAATGTGAAATTTTTTCAGACATTTTTGTAGCCGATAGAGAGTAATCTATTATCCGTAGTCATGGGCCTTCAAATGTTTCAGTTGCATAATAAGGTTTATTATTAAATTTTAAAAATTCTGAATCAATGCCAAATCAAATTTTCTTATATTCTAAGATTTAAAATCTAACTGCAGTTTAGAACCTAAATATTTTCCAGCCTAAATAAATTTGAAATTAAAATAGATATCTTAACTTTAGTCACCTTGCAATAGAAAAATAATCTGATTTAGAATAAAAATATGGTAATTTTTAAAAGTATTCAAGTTTTAGGTAATAGACAAAATTGAAGCATCGCCTTGGCAAATTCGAGAAACAAATGCCAGACTCGGTATTGGTATAATAGTACTCTTTTTTTATTTATTAGTTGGAGCCATTGTTTTTGTACAAATTGAAGGACCAGCAGAGCAAACTGACATGGAAACTTATGCAGAATTCAGATCACGCTGGAATGATTTACTAATGGATTCAGGTTTTACAGGTGAAAATGATTTATCCCTGTATTGAATCAAAATCGGCTTCTCTGAAAAGAATTCAAAGAGTTAAAATAGTTTTAATTTGCCAATCATAACTTAATTGAAAAAATTATAAAAATTAGTACTAAATTACTAAATTACAAAATGTTGACAAATTAAAATTTTGACTATATTTACATATGGAAAAATTACTTTGTGATTAATGCAAGTTGTTTCTGCATTAATTCAATTTGCCAATCATAATTGAATTAAAAATAATCTGTACTTAAATTTGAAAAATTCTGAATCAATACTAAATTATTCGAAATATATATGTCTAATAAGTTTTATTTATTTATTAATTTATATAAGTAAATAAAATTGAATATATAACAAGTTTTTTATAGAAAACGATATCGATCAACTATTTACCGATATTCGAATTATGGCTCTTAAAGGTATTTGGATGGAGAAAAATGTTACAACTGAGCCTATTTGGAGTTTGGGCCAAGCATTTTTTTTCGCAGGGGCATTAATTAGCACCGTAGGTAAAGCAAAAATTCTTTGCAAATATTACTCTTTTCTCAATAGACATAAAGTTTTTGTGATAAGATTGGATTAATTTGTATGCTTTGAATTTTTAATTTTGAATTTTTAACACTTCAAATTAAAATACAATAGAACTTGTTAATATAATTAAAACATTAAAGGTTTATATCACATAGTTATTTGCTTTAAGGTTACGGACGTGTGTCACCACGTACGCCAGAAGGCAAATTTTTTACAATTATTTATTGTCTTGTTGGAATTCCAATAACTTTAGCTTTATTGTCAGCCCTAGTAGCTAGACTAAAACAGCCAAGTGCTTGGCTACGTTGTAAATTAAATGCAAGACTTGGACATTTATTCCATGAAACACAAATTAAGGTTACTTTCACTTCTGCTTTTCATGGTTTTCACAGAAAAAATTTATCACGTTAATTAAATCACGTTAATTACTGCGTATATATTTGATGTACTTGACTTTAAAAAAGGTCAGTATAAATATAAGGACAAAATAAGAGTTCATATTTGTATGAAATTAAAATTTATAATTTCAAAGAAGAACGTAAAAATAATTTTTTGAAAAAAGTGGTAAAATATAAGTATATCAGTGAACTGAAAATTTTATTGGAATTAGACAACTTTTAAGTTTGCTTAAAATATTACGCATAATTTTTACTTATTTATTTACATATATAAATTTACTTTAAAAAATTAAATATTAAAAATTATTTTTTACTTAAATTTTAGATATTTCATTTGGCTTTTGTCTGCACAGTATTGCTTCTTTTTGTATACATTTTGCCATCTTATATCTTTACAAAAATTGAAAGAGATTGGAGTTTTTTGGATGGATTCTTTTATTGCTTTGTTTCACTAACAACAATTGGCTTAGGTAAGTTTAATAACTTTAATTGAATTTTAAATATGGCAGAAAAAGTTTAAATAAAATTGAATTTTAAATATCGTAGAAAAAGTTTAAATAAATTTGAATTTTAAATATCGTAGAAAAAGTTTAAATAAAATTGCATTTTAAATATCGCAGAAAAGGACAAATTTCATCAAAAGTTATTTGATTTCTAATTAAAAAAACACATCGATGTGTTCTTTTGGACAATTCCAGGACTTCTTGCTTAACAATTAAAAAAAACTGTTTGAAAACTTCAAGAATTTAGGGACAACATATTTTAGAACCTGAAAAATAAGAAGAAGCAAATAAATGAAAGTTTTGAATTATTTTGAAAAAATTCAGCAATCACATATTTTTAATGGATTTTGTACTATTTTATTTTTTACTATTATTTAATTAAAAACTGTTATTACCCAATTTATCAAAGTTATTAAAATGTTTTGTTAATTTTTATTGAATTTTTACTGAGTTTAAATTTTTTAAAGTTACGATTTGTCATAATTTTCGAGTAAATTTAAATTATACGATAACTTATTCTTACAAAGTTAACTTAATAACTTGCAAACAGTATGATGACTCCAAAGTATTATGCTAATTATTTAAAGCAAATGATAAAAGTTGTAGGTGAATACGTGCCAGGGGATCAAGCTGATCAGCAGTTCAGGACTTTTTATAAAGTTATCGTCACAGGTTAATACTGTTACTAAGTACTTTTTAACATTCAAAATTACTTACATAAACTTAAATATTTCAATAAAAGTAAATATAAACTTGTTTCATAAAAATTCTTTACGTAATAATTTTCACTTCTGATAATATATCAGCACTTCTTTGCAGTTGTCTTTTAAGTATATAAATAACAATTAATAAAAATAATTTTTATTCCATACAATTTTTGTATTTCAGTTTATTTACTTTTTGGTTTGTCATGTATGATGCTTTTCCTTGCTACACTTTATGATATACAACAATTAAATTTGAGTCGATTTTTTCTCACCAAAGATGATGGATTCATTGATCCATCTTATGATAATCGATCTGAAACATTTGCTATTGGTAATCAGGTAATTAAATTCAGATTTATTCAAACAATTCTTAATTAAAATTGAAAAGTTTGCAGTGTAATAATAACCATATTTATTAAATAATTATTTATTTGTATTCATAATTTACAATAAAACCAAATGTTTTCATGGTATTACATATGTTTTTTGATCAGATTTTAATTATTCTATAAAAATAATGATATTATCAAATTTCGTTAATGATGCGTACCTATAAAGAAATCTACTATCACGTG